TAAGTGAAGATTGAGTAGTAAGTGATGAATACTGTCAAGTGTCAAGATTTAGTGGTGAGCTACGATTGAGTATTAATTGAAGGTTGAGAAGTGATGGACGATTAAGTATTGAGTGGTGAGCGACGATTGAATATTGAGTGAAGATTGAGTAGGAGTGACGAAAGAGTATTGAATGGTGAGTTATGATTGCGTATTAAGTGAAGATTGAGTAGTAAGTGATGAATACTGTCAAGTGTCAAGATTTAGTGGTGAGCGACGATTGAGTATTAATTGAAGATTGAGAAGTGATGGACGATTAAGTATTGAGTGGTGAGCGACGATTGAATATTGAGTGAAGATTGAATGACTAATGAGTAACTGTTGAGTGTTGAACGAGGAGTAAATTTTAAGTGACGGAACGAAATTCTTCTTTGTAAACGAAATTATTCATTTTTAATAAGGAATTGTTAAAAAATGGTAGAGAAGTGACAGAAAATCTTTTATCAGTACATTTTTCCTTTATAAAAGTTTTGTGGTATTGTAAAGGGTAAGTGAAATGTTTTTACAAAAATTTTTTTAATGTTTTTCAAGTTCTTATTTAACAAATATTATACCTTTGATCTGTTTGAAAGCTGGCGCGTGTTTCTTGAGCATGAGATGCGTCGCATCTCCTCCATCATCAAGAATCATGTTGGGCTGCCAGGTGGGGGTGGGCGTACAGCACTGGTCGATGCACCACCAGAACGCCTCCTCACTTTGACCACGCCATGCGAATATCGCAAAACCTACAATGGTATACAATCATCAACTTGCCCTTGTCCCTGGGTCTGCACAGTATGTCTTCCATACTTCTATCAGCCGTTATATCTGCATCCATTCTCTTAAATCCTCTTTCACACAATCCATCCATACTTTCTTCGGTTTTCCTCTACATTTGTAGCCATCCACATTAAACCATAAAGTAAATGAAGAAGTATTTATTTGGTAAGTATTTGATGGTTACTCGTTATCTATTGAGTCGTTCAATTGCTGAGTCGTTGAGAGTTAATTTTTAAAGTTGATAACGTTGAGTCGTCTTTACTTATATTATTAAGAGCATAGATTTGTTTTTTCGTATGCATTGAAATAAATCATAAACTACTGGACCGATTTTAATAATTCTTACACCATTAAAAAGCTATGTTATCACCGAGTCAACAAAGGCTATGTATTTTTTTTTAATTCCACGCAGATTAAGACGCGAGCAACAGCTAGTTAGTCATAAGTGTTGAGTCGTTAGGTAGAGTCTTTGGATGGTTAAGTTCTTTAAGTCATTCACTTTTTGACATTAAACGATCATTCACCATTCACTGTACACGTCATTGATGACGTCACACACAAGAACGTAGTATACCAGCATGTGCAAGCGCCGCCGCCACCTCGTTCTGCGTGCTGTATATGTTACAAGCCGCCCAGCGGACAGTCGCGCCCAGCGCCGTCAACGTCTCTATCAGCACCGCTGTCTGTGCATTTATATGTGTGCATCCCACTATCTGTAGAATTGTGAAATAATGCAACAAATGTAGACTTATAAACCGGAAAACTTAGACCCGTAGACATATGTTAAAAATATATATCGACAGGTGAAAGGCTATATATAATCAGTATCAGCGAATTTCTCTGCATTGGGTCCACTTAAAGGAAAAATTGCCCTACTCATAGCAACGAGAGAAACTCAGCATCTTCCTTCAATTAATTAATTAGATAAAAGGGTAATTTTAAAAAGAAACTAGCCGCGTATCAACAACCTGGGACACTACCAATTTCCCCGACTGTACATCTTGTAAACGGATAATATATATTAGGCACTAACTAACATACTCGTATATTTGTCCCTTTCTTACCTTCGCGTCTTTAAGAGGCTTGTCATCTTTAGCGCGTGCTCTCAACGCCATGATGCCGGGCATCTCTTGTTCCGCTATCTCTATCTCTCTCCTACCGAAGGCGTGCTGTTCAACATTACGAACGCAGTAAGGCGGGTTGGGTTGGCCGGCAGCAATCGCCTTCTCATGAGGCTGTACTCCTTCTTCCTCGTCAGAAGATGACCCTGGAATAGAACATAAAAAGCATGTTTTAATCACTTTGGAAAATGACAATAATTGGAAACCCACAAATATTTTATCATCGTGAGTGACTAGCTTTCGCCCGCGATTTCGTCTACGCGGAATTAAAAAGTAAGTAGCCTATGTGTTCTTCCAGACTATACTCTACATCTATGTCAAATTTCATCGAGATCCGTTCAGCAGTTTAGGCTACAACCTCAAACAAACATCCATCTAAACTTTCGAATTTATAATTATGAAATGTCTAAGTAACATTTCTTGTTACTTAGACAAACTACGCATTTACGTTACGAATAAATTTATGGAACGTTTTCTTGACACGTGACTTAACATACGTAACTAAATTGTACATTTATTTAGTAGTAACTGGATACCCAAGCTGTCGCAATTTATATTGTACCTAATATTTTTATTTCAATAACAGACCTGACAGTTACAAACATACAATTATTTTATAGATATAAACTCACAGAAATCACTTTTCCCAGATATAATAGAGTGTCTCTTCTGAAGTGGTACATTCTCTTCTCTTGTCGTATTCTTCAAGATACCAGTAGTCGCCATTAGATTAGTTTAAACTACTCTAATTTAAAAAAAAACTATAAAAAAACAGCCTATGTTACTCACAGATAAATTACCTTTTTAACAGTGAAAGAATTTCAAAAATCTACCTAGTAGTTTTTGAGTTATTTCAATACATAAAAATACAAATCTTTCCTCTTTACAATATTAGTATAGAAGTATAGAACTGTTCTTCTATGTACACCGTTTAATTGTGAACTAGGTTAGTTTACAATCTTACCAGCAATGTTATCGTAAAATTGCGAACATAGTCTCATACAATTTTCCCTACTAGATGAACCAGCGAGCAATACGTCAAACCCTAATTTGTCTCGAGATTTGTCTTCAAAAGTTCAAGGCTATTACAACAAAGAGATTAGACGACTAGATACGTCTTATTAAGCTTTAGTCTAGGTCAATATGACAAAACTACAAATACAGCTTAGTTGGTTTACAATTTAGAATAACTCACAACCGTTACCTAGAGAGGTAGACAGAGGCGATAATTCCATTTGATTTGTCACATCTTTTTCGCTTTTACATTTATGCATCTACATTTCAGGTGCTTTTAATGTCGCCCTTTTTAGAATTTCACCATTCAAACTAAGTGGTGTAACTTATGGCGCTAAATTACGGTATCTGATATAGACACAAGATACAGATATCTTGTATCGAAAATATTCTCTCAAAAAGGTATCTTGTAAGTTGTATTTAAATACTAGATTTCGCCCGCGACTCCGTCCGCGTGGAATTTAAAAAAAAACAAAAGTGAGTAGCCTATGTCTTCTTCCATCCATCCATCCATCCATCTAAACGTACGCATTTATAATATTAGTATGAGTATGATATTTTGTTCCATATCTTAATGTTTTAATTTTTTTTTCTTTTTTAGTAATATGCTTATAGAATTTTATAAAATCAATGCATAAAACTGAATAGATAGCAGATCTTTTTTTATTAATTGAATTTGAAGTCATATAAAATGCTACCAATGCCGTGATTCTAACCACTGATCCATAGAACAGTAAACAGATAAATACCAACTGCATAAATATCGGCAAACCGCCAAAAGCAATTAACGTACTGTGGTAAGGAAACCGACGCCAGCGCCACCAAAACCATTGCAACGACAATGTAAACAGACGTTAACTACATTTGTAACTGGACTACAAAACTATCGCATCAAAATAGAATCAACAGTGAGGTAATCATTTTATATCTATACATTAAACGAGCACCTATGTATGGAGAAGGCTTCTTACTTATTACAATTTATGAATAACACAAATCGTAGACATGTCGTAGACAGGCTTCGCGTGTAAAAACATTGACAAAAAATAAATCTATCGAGAAAACTTAGTCCAATCGTGATTCTGTTCCACGAGACTTTAGTTTAAGGACTGAAGTTACACATAAAATATCACAAATCCTGTTCTAAGCTTCCAAAGATACGCTTCAGTATAACCGCGCCTTAAATCTTCTGATAAATTAAGTCTGTATTTTTTTTAAGAAAGGCCAAAGAATCCCAAAATGGAAAAGAGTCTCTATAGTGAAAATGAACGCTAATTTGTTGTGAAATTAACGAAATCAAGACTCTAAATTTGAATATCATCTCATTCAGTAACTGTTATTAAAAGACGTACAAACTAAATTTAGCACGCGATGTCACAACATCCCTAAAGTAAATTGCATCCGTATTATTTTTAGAAGCATTACGCAAGAGATTACGATCTCTAAATTAACTAGTTTACTCATACAAATTATTCTTTCTACAAACTTATCACTTTTTATATAGAGAGCCCATTTTTATTTCAAAGTAGCTTTCGTCCGCGTGGAATTAAAAAAAAACTGAGTAGCCTATGTGTTCTTCAAGACTATCCTCTACGTCTATGCCAAATTTCTTTGAAATCTATTCAGCCGTTTAGGTTACATACTCTAACAAACATCCATCCATCTAAACTTTCGCATTTATAATATGACGAGCTGTTGCCCGCGACTTCGTCCGCGTCGTATTAGAAAGCATACGAACTATATAAATTTCAAAAAGCTACGTATCCCTCGGGAGACGGACATTTCTCGGGAATGAAGCTGATCCCATGTGTACTCCAGAATTTGTTTTATATCTGTGCCAAATTTCATGGAGATCCGTTCAGCAGTTTATGCTACAAACGCTATCAAACATCCATCCATCTAAACTTTCGCATTTATAATATGAATGATGGATCTCGTAAGATTTCAACATTTTTATGAATGGACTGTCATTACAAATACTAAATATTTAAAATAATTAAACTTATTTATTCTGTTATTAGAGCTTACTGCTAACTCACAGTCTTTAAATGGTCACTAAGGGATACCCTTGGTGTTGAATTGAGTTTAGACTCTGGATGTCAACACCTTCCTCCTTATCCTACTACCGTAGGCGCAACAGGTTTTTGTCCTCCATATATCTATCATACGTCATCTGTCATCACTCTTGATCATGTCACCTTTTACGCAATCCATCCATCTCTTTCCGTTACCTCTACTTGTGTAATTCATAACTAACATTGTTACATGCGATTCATCCCTCCTCTGGATGTCAACAAATTCTAATGTCGATTAAGCAAATTGTCGCACAAACTTGTTAATTAACTTTACGTAACGAACTCGCTTAGCAACAAGAGTCGAAAGTTTTTATTAGTAAACTTACTTATGGAATTGAATTTACAAGGTAACCTTCATCTGGTTTAGTTTCGTTTTACTGCTCTACATCGAGTACACGTATATTTACTGCAATTACAATTTACTCATATTTACTTTATGCATTTATTGAGTGAAAATAATGAAACTATTTGCTATTGAGAATTAACTTTTCACTAGCTTTCGCCCGCGACTCCGTCCGCGTAGAATTAAAAAAACAAAAGTGAGTAGCCTATGTGTTCTTCCAGACTATCCTCTACATCTATGCCAAATTTCATCGAAATCTGTTCAGCCGTTTAGGCTACAAACTCTAACAAACATCCATCCATCTAAACTTTCGCATTTATAATATTAGTATGAAGTATGATGGCGCCAGCATACTTAGAAGAAAATCCAAGAACATTGAAATAGTAACGGAATTATAGAAGCTAACGAGAAGAAGTGTCATAGAGAGAGGTGATTTAGTGAAAATCGTTACAAATACATTTAAAGTTTGAATAAAGCCATAAAATACATTTAAAACAACATTAATAAAAGGTTATACAATACTGAAGTATTATTAAATAAATGAAGTCGACGCTCGTATTTCCACGAACCGGAACAAATCGATAGAAAATCCGCAACGACACATACATATGCACATCACTAGAGGCACAGATTATAAACATAAAAAGCAAACATCAAAGAGGTTGCACTTTCAAAAGTACTGGCACTCTCTAAATTAAAAAAAAAACTGGCGCGAGCACAGATTTTATCCACTTGAACTTGTTGTCCTTGACTGAATTTAAAATTGCTTTAAAATATATATATATACGTGTAGCGCTGTCGTATCGCGGACAGAAAGTGTGCCCGACTAGTTGTGCAGCGGATATCGCTTACGGCTACTCTAGTATGGAGTGGGCTGCACTAAACAATCTTTTATAACCAACGGAAACTAAAAAATATTTTGGCACGAATACAAGAAAATATAAAGCAATATTTTAGAATATCAATGAAAGAGAAACATGCTATTAATTGGCGTTAACAATGACTGTATAATATCCCTTATATTATTGGTTCGGTAAAATTTCTAACACGTCTTGTACAATTGCGTCTTAGTACCAACTTTTATTCTAGAACTTACTGTCGAGACGATTACGCTAGACAAAACAATGAAAGTAAAATATGCTACATCACATGAAGAATATTCAGTCATCTCATAAATTATTAACATTGGAAAATCCACGATGTATATAGACTGGTTGACCCCTGAAGACTAAGATAGAACGCCACATTGCCAATAATTAGGTCACGGATTGTTAAACACGAATCCACATTTAACCCTATTTTTCTGAGATTAGTAATAAATTCGAATAATTCAACAAATTAATGCAAGAATAAAACTATTCTGCTACCGTTGGTCTTGCATCGAAACTAAAAAGAATGCCATAAAAGAAACCAAAGTAAGAGACCATACAAATCACAAAGAAAACCGTTTTTTTAGTCAAAACCATAAAATTATTCAAAGTTATAGATTAACAAACCCTCTCTTCTCCCTTCTAACAGTTGTAAAGATGTTAATCTCACTACAATGTGTAATATCAGACCATTCAACTCTGGGCTCGATAACCTGAGGCAGCTGGTAAAGAACTTAAATTAAATTGTGTCTAGACAGTTTCAACTTAATAGGATTCCTTTTATCATATTTAGATATTTGAAGTTCACATTACTGTGTGGAATAATTCGTAGTCAAATTTAAAAACAAGACAATTTTTACTGAATCAAGACGGTTACGGTTAGGGCCGAATCATCAGCTGATCAGAATGGTACTTGAATGTTCTTTTACGTAAATGTAATAGATGTTTTTTGTTATTATTTTTAAAATATACTATCGACACGAGACACCTTCGGGCGGAATAAAAAAAAACGAGATCGGTCCAGCAGTTTAGGCTACAAACTCTAACATCTAACCTTTCACATTTATAATATTAGTAAGAAGTGACTTTATACAACTAAAGTAACTTTGTCTACTAGTCTATATTAAAACCGCTATAATATTCCCCGTCACTTGACTGTAAATAATTTAAACGAACATTCACATGGCATTAAAACATCACTGTATAAGGTCAACGTCTCCTATTGTTGATAAAAAGATAACATACGTCTAGTAATTTATATCAACCTAACTATCAAGAGGTCTAATCTTTCACATCAGAACTGAGAAGACAAACAACTTTGTTTACACTTAGATACCAACGCAGATGAAGAAATTCTTATAATCAAGACGTTATTTTTAAGTAATTATGTTTTACCATCAAACAGAAGAATTACATTCAAAATATCAAACTCCATTCTTGCTGAGTTTTCGATAACTCGATCGATCGCATGTAAGGACGTCAGTTATGAGTTTGGTACACCGGTAGAGGTAGACGTAGAAAGAGATGGATGGATCGCGTGAAAGGTGACATGCTCAAGAAGGGTAATAACTAAGATGACATACGATAGAGTTATCAAAAGGACGAAAACATGATGCGCCGACCCTACGGAAGTAGGACAATGGTTATCGATAACTCAGTTACATCACTATAGGGTGTTGTTTTCAACGTACTGTTGCTCAACAAAGTTTAAAAATATCGCCCCGTATCTTGTAATGCCACAAATGAAACATGAACTTCAAGGTATCTGTCTGGTAATTTATTGAAAGAATTGGATCCATACAAATATATCTTATTTCTCAGAATTCAACAGCCAGTCATAACATTCATTAGATGTCGTATAAGTATTCTATCTCGATCTCCTTCAACATTTTCTACAGACAGTAGGCCATACTATAAGAAGAAAAGGTTCCTCTGAATAACACCGATATAAAATTGAAACACAAACAATGGAAGCCTTCAAGATTACAGCAATAATATTTATATTAATCTAACATAGCTACCGCAGTGCGGTAAAGCTGTACGATCTATGAAATGAGTTCATACAATGTTATGTAAAGATTCGACCTCAAGGAAAACATCACACAAAGCCCAATTTACATGTCAGCAATTACAGAATATTTTTGAATAATTCCATTTTTAATAAAAAAAAACCCCTACACACTTTAGGCTATATATTTTCACGCCAATAAACTTAGGGGGTAAATATTTTGAATAAAAACTCTAATGTGGGAAAGAGACCATAACTTTGTCATGTCATGTCATTTTGACATTTGCAATTGATAATTTGACACATGTAAAAAACAAATTAAAATATTCACGCGGATGAAGTCGCACGGGAACAGCTAGTAAATAAATAAATTCATTTATTTAACAATAAACTGGTTACAGAAAATTGAGCCAGGGTCCTGTATCGCAAAGACCCAGCTCAGCTGATTATATAAAATACTAGTTATACGTTTTACGCAACGTATTATCCATATATATCCATTATCTTACATTCCTAGAAATTATACGGACTATATTGAGGAAAGCAACGTCTTGATAAAAGATTTTCTATTAAAAACTCTTTAAATAGAATTCAATCATCTAAATTTAGATATAAGCTCTTATAAAGCGCTTTGCCCAGTCAAATTCAATTTCAGGATCATTAATAACGTCTAGCTATTGGGGCTAAATATAAACAGATACTTAGAAAACTCATGACAGAGTAGGTAGACTGACAAAAAAGGCTACGAGAGTGGATGAGAAAGAGAGAAGCAAAATACTTTTAACAGTGGTAGTGCCCGTTTTAACATCTTAGCACGAATTGGCCGGCACGCCCGGTGTAATACCACGTCCACACAGAAGACAGGCGTGAAATGGAAGCAATTCCGTGTTTCGTCTGATGAGTGTAGTGCCTGAGGTCTAATTTAAGTCCCTTTCTCTTTACCAACCTTTTCTTATAAGAAGAGAAGGGGAAAGGGAAGTGAATTTGACGGAGGAGGAGATACATACGAAGGGGAAATATAATATCCTCTTTATGTGCGTCTCCTCTGTCGGATAAGGGTAGGTGACGCATCTGCAATTGCGGATGTCTATGGGCAGCAGTCGCGTCGCATTTTGGTGGTTCCAGGTGGCCGCTTGCTCCTTTGCCAACTTATGTTATACAAAAAAATACTACAATTTTGAGTGAATGAATGAAGTAAATTGTGAGTCGAATAATTTAAATTGGGATTTTTAAAGATTCATTCTCCATACTTAACGAGCGCAACGAAATGCTTGCTTGCAAGAAAATTGATTAGCAAAGGTCTGGACAAGCTTGGTCACCGGTTAGTTACATGTTTTATTTTTAATTGAACACGGTATATAGAAGTACATAAACGAGTATATTTACATAATCATTTGAAGGAAGTATTTACAATCAAACATTTCAAAGACCCTGACCTCAATCACAAATTAAATTATATAAATACGTCAGAAAAAAACTTTATTCCCCCTCATTCGTCAATGCAAAGTCGAAAGCATTCGGTTTAAATTTCTCTTCGTAAAAAGTTTTCCTTTTAAAACTTCGTCGAGATTTCGAAATATTTGGATTTCCTTATGACTAATCTCAAGTCAGCAGTAAATTTTCTACCAAACATAACGTATATTTACCGTTTATATATATTTATTATTTAGGGTATCGAATTCTTAAAAAAAAAAACAAAAAATGTTTAAACCTTCACTATGAAGTTCATTAGTCCTTTAACATTAAGCATTACTTTAACAAATAACCTTACAAATAAGCGGGGAATAATATAGCAGGGATGGCCAATCACTGGCACACGTGCCATTAATATGACACGACTTAATATTTTAGGTACGTCGATAATCACAAAAAATTATGAAGTAGGTGCACCATGGAATTGAGGTAACAATCGCTGTCAAAATTATTCGATGGCACGTCTAAAATTTTGCATAAATGTTTGCAACCCCTGGTCTATAATGTCCTTAGATATGATCACGTAACTCATTACACTATAGAATAGCTGCGTTATTTTGTGCCGTCCTCGCTTCGCTATGGTAATGTAAACAATACACTCTCGCTATTTACCTTGGATTTGTTAAGAAGAAAATAATAACAATTAACTTTATAAAATCTGTATTTATTATATCGATTAACGAAGAAATTTCTTTCGTGGATACGACATTATCCCTTCCATTAGGTAGCCTAAAAAGTGTAACTGGTTTTGATATACGTCTTGTTATTCTAACATTAATGTATTTATTTAATCAGAATTACATATTTCTAGCTTTCGCCCGCGACTCCGTCCGCGTGGAATAAAAAAAACAAAAGAGAGTAGCCTACGTGTCCTTTCAGACTAACCTCTACATCTCTACCATATTTTATCGAAATACGTTCTGCCGTTAAGGCCAAAAATTCTTTCACCATTAAAAAACTACGTTATCAGTGAGTAACATAGACTATATTTTTTAATATTTCCTCATGTCATGTGGAAGTCACTAGCAACAGTTTGTGTATGACTTCCGACTTTATGTACATAAGCGATCTGAGAATCAAATTCAGGTCTTATATTAATCTAGACTTATGTAAAAACTGTTACATTGGTACAAATACATTGGAAAAAAAAGTTACGCTTTTATGCGTACATCTACTTGTAAGGAATCGATTTGCGTCACCATTACCATAAATAGGCTCCGTTTGGTACAAAAGTTTAGTGGTTCGTTACATTTAAACTAGCTGTTCCCATGCGGCTTCATCCGCATGAAATTTTAAATACTTTATTTTTTTTTACATTTGAGAGTAGCTCCAGTGGAAGAGAAGGTAATAGGTAAAAAGTTAGCATGGTATGGGCATGTTATGAGGGATGAATCGCATGTTACAAGGAGAACGTTAGTTATGAGTGTGGAAAGGTACATCGGTAGAGGTAGACCTAGAAAGATGACATGATCAAGAAGAGAGTGATGACTGAGATGTCGTATGATAGAGTTATGTGGAGGACAAAAACCTGCTACGGGAGTAGCATAAGGAGAAAAAAGATGATTGTTTAGATTTATCAACTCAATTTCAAATGTCAAAATGACCGTTACCATAATAACCTTGCTTCCTTAATGTTGGCAGCTTGTAGTTTATGGTCCCTTTCCCACATTAAGGTTTTTTTTTTTCAATTTATTAACCTATGTTTAATAGCGTGAAAATGTACAGCCTAAAGCGTGTCGTAAGTGTAGGGGATTTTATTAAAGAAAGAATTATTTAAAAACGTGCTGTTATTGCTGACATCCCACGCCATGTAGTAGTGTGTTTACGCTTATATATTAGTATAGAAGTATAGATATATCGTTCTTTCAATGACATTATAATCAACCACAAGTTGAATATCGCAATATGTTACAAGTATTATTGCTCAATTGCATAACCTTCTATAGAAGTGGATGTGTTTATGCATAAAGCGGGCGCACATCTTTGACTAAACTTTGGCATAACTGTTGTGCGATTGTCGATTGTTTCGCAGGCAATTCAACTGTTTAGTTGCACAACTAAAAATCAAGTATTGTGCGCACTTCCATATAAGTTCATTGGAAGCAAAGCGAGACTAAACAGTTGTGCGATAGTTTAGTCAAATGTATGTGTGCGCTCTCATCATCCACTTGCCCTTATCCCTTATGGAGGGTCAGCACAGTATGTGTTGCTCTTCCATACATCTCTATCAGCCGTCATATCTGAATCCACTCCTTTCTTAAGCATATCTTCTTTCACACAATCCATCCATACTTTCTTCGGTCTTCCTCTTCCTTTGTAGCCATCCACATTCAATCTCAACACTTTCTGGTTTATGTCCCCATCATTTCGTCGCATAACATGTCTGCGATGTGTGCGCTCTAAAGTAGATATTTAATTCGTAATCATGAATATACAATTGGATAATAATCTTTTTGGTAGGCATTGGGGAAGACCGATGTCCAACGGTGGGCAGATGAAGACTGATGATGATGATGATGGTGGTGGTGGTGATGATGATGATGATGATATAAACTCCATCACTTCAATCAAATTGCATAATCTATCCTCATTAAAACGAGGCAGTCTTCTTGCAAACGAAAACCTCACGGTACACAAACTTGTGACGTCAGTCGCGATAGGACTTGTAATAATTCAAATCCGAAACAGTAGATGTTTTATCTCTGTCATACCTAGTATTTTGTGTTAAGTACTTCTCTCTCACTCCTAGCAAACTGCGTACAAGATGCGTAGCGCACTTCAAGAACTCAAAGTTTCGCGGTTTATTGTACAGACTATAAAATACGGTTAAACAGCAATATTTTGCTACTGGTTATATAATAAAATTTCCCTTACAACTCGTCTTGCGTTTTACTACGTCATAAAACTGGAATTGACTCACGACATACAAGACGTCTTCCCATAGACAAAATTAGACTGAATGTTTATTGACGTCACATTTTGACGTGTTATTATGGATACGAGGCCGAGACGGATAAGTGCAATGTATACCTCTAGTGGTTGCCCGCGTCTTTTTACTCAATATATAAGCCACTTTTTATGTGAAAGTACCGACAAAATCGGATCAACCGTTTCGGAGATTATCCGAAATAAAACGAGGATTTACTGGCAGGCAGGCAGAAATTTTTAAAATTAGTTTTTGTTGGCAAATGTGCATTTTTTCCGATATAACATACAGACATTTCAATTTTATTAATAAACTAGCTTTCGCCCGCGACTCCGTCCGCGTGGAATTAAAAAAAAAACTAAGTATGCTATGTGTTCTTCCAGACTATCCTCTGCATCCTTACCAAATTTCATTGAAATCAGTTTAGCCGTTTAAGCTACAAACTCTAACAAACATCCATCCATCCATCCTTCCATCCATCCATCCATCTAAACTTTCGCATTTATAATATTAGTATGATATAGATACGATAATTCAGATATGATGGCTGAGCAGCACATACTGTGCCGACCCTCCATTAGAGATAAGGGCAAGTGGATGATGATGATGATGAATTCTAATCAGAATATTAAGACTAAACTTCTGTACTGGTGTAGCATTAATACCTATTCCTGTCATTCGTTTTGAAAAAAAAAATAAAAAAAAAAACAAAACAATCTAAAAAATTAACTAAAAAGCAACGAAATAATTCCGTGAATTATACCTTCCTTATTGTAGCTGTTATGTCTATATTGTATAATTATTTTTACTTTGAAGTCGGTGAGAATTAAAAAACTGATGTCTGTTAACTGTTTCCGTTTCTATATAACATTAACTTAACTTACTCATTCCTTGATCATTTATGGAGTCTCTTAGTATAGATTTATTATAACAAATTAGGTAATGAAAATACTAGGCCTTGCAGTAGAGCAGTTAGTATGACAAATTGCATGCATAATTTGAATTGTATAAAACAATAGCCAGTAAAAATTAAATC